TTAATAACAACACTGTTTAAACAATATATTTTTAAGTGTGATATCCGAAGTGTTTGTGTTTATATAAGCAGATTTTTATTTCTTACAAAGACATTTCTACATAAAATATGAATCCAAATATTTATTTAATTTGTTTGTAAAATAACTCATTTTTTTTCTCAAAACAAACACATTATAAACATTGCACTCTAACGCGTTGCTAAGCAAATCGTTGTTTTCAATGAAAGAATGTTAAAAAAAAGGCGTCCAAATGCATAACAAATAAATAAGTGAAACCCATAAAAGCACCCTCATACGAATGACGTCATAAATATTGTTGATTGGAGAAAAAAAGGCGTTACTGATGACAATAAAGATGAATTTAAATACGTTGCATATAAAATTGATGTGCTGAATTGTAAAAATAGCAGTGTTTTTTCTAAAAGTCGACTTTGAAACGCTCTTTTGTATTAATTTTCTATTCAATAAACTGCCTGATGCGTCATAGCAATCATATACAGTGCAAAGTTCATTGATAACAGTTTTGTGACATAAACGTGTAGGCGGATATCCAATTCATACTCTGTCAAGTTTAATAAAAAATATTATTTCAGATTAATAACATACTAACTAAATCAAAATCTGTCCTTGGTTGGAGTTTTCCGTCAATTATTAGTTTTTGTTCAAATTAGAACCTACTCTGCGAACTTTTCACATATGAAATAAAAATAAAAACACCATGTGCGTTGAGAGCTGCTAATATCTTTGTGTCAATTTCGTCAAAAACAAAACTATGCCACAGATGAAGCTTTTTACTTAGTGAAACAGTCAGATGGCAAAAATCGAGAAGAGAAATACAATCACATTGGAATTGATAAATACAAAGAAGAAAAGCTGCTGAAATCTTTATCTCGACGTGAACAACAAAGTGTTTTCGCGTTAGTACGAACATTAAATCATGTTATGACAGATGAGCTTTAGAAATTTTGCTTCGAACATTCAGGCGCCGTCCGCTGCTACTTTAAGAGAAATTATGAATGCTTTTTAGATTACTGAGAGCACTTTATAATTTTGTTACTTAAGGTGCACATTGGACGTAGTAGTTGCTACTAAAATCTAGTTTCCCAACTCCGAAATATTGTCAACAATGTTGAAAATTCTGATGACCAAGAGGTCTGTCAGAATTATGCATTAAATGTGTAAAGAAACCGAATTTTTTTAGTCGTCTATGATGCTACCGTTATATTAGTTGTTCCTACAACACATAACTTCCATCAAAATGACTCTATTTATGCATTTCGTCGAAATAGACAGAGTCATGATTAATGATCGATGAAGTTTCGAAAGGTGAATGAATTGTTTAAAAATGCTGTCATTCATTAAAGGAAAAGAAAAGTTGTCTATGTCACACAGACGCTGTTACTGTCTTCCAGTTTAAATAGAGCCATGCAATAGAGTCCAGATTAGTCTTAAACGTTGTTAATTTTGTCTAGAGGAACAAACAGGATAATTCCGAATAGAATCAAGACTGTGGAGATAGGATTGAAAAAAAAACGAAAAACTACTATCTGGAAATTTCACTCATTCCCGTCTCTACTTCATAGATGTTTTACATATGTGGACTCTGTATTGTAAAGGTGTATATACTCTTCGTTCAATGAAATAAGAAAAAAGAGCTATGAGTCATACGTTTTATTGTAGTTGTTGATTGTAGGTACGTTGCTAGATCTTACTCATGTATCTTTGTTACTTATTCTAGTTTGACAGTACCAACATTTTCACGAAAGTTATCTAGAATGATGATCTTATCACTGCAAATTCTCCTGTTCTACATAAATTTTTGTTCATCTGGTGCAAAACCAAGTTGTTTTATGTACAGCAATTGATGAGGGACAACTGAATATTTTAGATAGTGAGCGGGTAGTCTATGCGGATGTGTTTGGATGTAAGAGATTGGAAAACTGACGCGACGTAGTCCTTTCACACTACTCGAAAAAAATTCAACGACCTTGATTAGAAGTTTTTCAAATCATCTAAAGAAACATCTATGATTAATATTTCTTATGATCTATTCTGTTCAACTATTTGCCAGCATTTTATAGTTAAACGATAACAAAATCTACAAAGTGTTGAAGCTTCTTGAAGGCTTGATCTTTCACACGAAATACAAGATAATATCGCTTTATGGCACAATAAGCTCCATATATTATGATCAACGAACGAAAGCTGAACCAAAGTGTTATCTGGCTAACTATTGATCGGTCCTGAAAGACTGAAAAGGAAGAAACCGTGGTGGAAAATGAAAACTAACTGACAGTTTACATGATTGAAAGGATTTCTACGATTAACACTAATCAGCAACAGGATTGTCGAATCAAACCGACAGGATATGCGTATGGGTGTGAATGAATACTCATCTCAGACACACCTAGACTATTATTAATTTCTGACAACTTCGTCGTTAGTAACAAGCAAGATAATGCCATACTGCATGCTTGAAATCTGAAACACCTGCGTTTCCGATATTATCGCTTTTGTACTCTGACTATTTCAACGAGGTCATCAAACATTACTGGCAGTTTTGGCGTTTATTGTTCGTTTTTCTATGCAACAGCATGTAGCATGAAAAGTGAATTCTATTGAACGACGTCTCATGATCTGTTGATTCTTCATATATTTACCATTGTAACAGGGTTCATGCGCTTCTGTTGTGATCTAATTACAGCGTTCATTGAAGGTAACAGACAAAATAGATCTTTTCTTTCTCTGAGATCGAGCTGAACACGTATTTATAAAGGAACCATGGTACTTATTGTCGAATTGACACAATATAGTGAAGTAAGAAAATAAGCACTTCAGAGTGACTCATTATGAGTCGCTAATTACTGCGTTATGATCACCTCAAAGCAAAATATAGCTTGCTGTATTGAGTATATTTAAAGTAAAACTGTAGGATTTTCAATCAAAGAAAATGATCATTTTGAAGAGAAACTTGATATTTAGTGCAATAGTTTTGTTCTACTGCGTATTTAGAAAGTATTGTTTGTATTATTTTTATGTAAAAAAATTTGGCCGTTTTAATCGAGAAAAAGCACTTTTTGGACAAACTTTATGAAAATGTGCAATTTACTCTTTTGCGATGTTGAATAGAGTACAACGAAAAACAATTTTGTTTTGACAAATAATACAAATTATTCAGAAAGAGAGCCGAAAATTTTATTCTCTATGAGCAATTTGGCTGTTAATTGCGTACACAAACGCGACTCGTTACCAGTTAAAACAATCTTCCGAAAAGTGTACAAAGGTGAAAAAAAGAGAGAAATACAAATATTCTTTTCGTTCTCGTCATTATGTGCTTAAAGACGAGAAAGGCTTCTTTGTAAAGACATCGATTAGCTATTCCGAGAAACATGTCTTCTGAGCTATCAAATGGTCTCAATGATGATGATTTTATTGTCGTTTGGATTGAAGAAGATAATATCGATACGAAACATTCAGTCAGCACTCGATTTGGTCATGCAACTCATGCTATTCACACATTTGATGATGTTGAAAAATGTATTGATTTCGTCCGAACAGCCAAGAACGAGAGCATTTTTCTTATTATTTCAGAATTATCGATACATAAATTCATCTTTGAGCTTCATGAATTCCCACAACTTCATTCGATCTATATCATCTCTTCGCATATGTTATCGTCGGATGATGAAAATCCAACAATACATAAGAAAGTGAGAGGTGCTTTTTCAGATGTTCTCTCACTTTTTGAGCATCTCACACAAGATATTCGAGTAGCAGAAGCAACAATTACACCGATGAGTATTTTTAATTCGAGTTTGACATCATGTGATTATTTCAATGCTCCTGTTTGTTCTTTTATTTTTTCACATTTACTGAAAGAGATCATACTTGAACATAAAAATAATAATCGATTACAACATCAATTTATTGAATTTTGTCGAGAAAAATATGCTAACAACGAGGGAGAATTAAAAATTATAAATGAATTTGATGATCATTATAAAAACCATTCACCAGCATGGTGGTATACAAGGGAATGTTTCCTGTACAAAATGCTCAATAAAGCTCTTCGAGTACAAGATATTGATATTTTGTTCACAATGAGGTTTTTTATTCGAGATTTACATGATCAAATTGAGCAAGTTCATTCGACCATGTTGGCCAAAAGAACTCATGTTTTATATCGAGGCCAAGGGTGAGTGTTTTGTGATTATAGACTTTTTGTTTTTGAAAATTTCATTTTCACAGATTGCTCCATGAAGTATTCAAAACATTAAAGAAAAACATAAATGGTATTTTGTCTTTTAATAATTTCATTTTGGCCAGTAGCAGTCGTGATATTTCACTTCACTTTGCTCAACACTCACTCGATAAAGACAATATTGTTCCTGTTATCTTCGAAATTCATATTGACACATCCATCCAATCGACACCATTCGCATCATTAGATAAAATCGGTTATTTTCCCACTGAAACTGAAATGCTGTTTTCTATGCATTCGATTTTTCGGATTGGAGATATTGAATACATGGAGAATCATATTTGGAATATTCGATTAACATTGATCAATGATGATGATCCCCATTTACGTTCGCTTACTAATTTCATCCAAACCGAAATTCAAGGTTCTAATACTATGCTTCGTTTGGGATCGTTCATGTTGAAAGTGCATGAATGGGACAAAGCGAAAAGTATTTTCGAATTTGTTCTTAGTGATGCGACGCCCAACAGTAAAAACGAACTTGCCTATATTGAAGATTGCTTTGGAAGAATCTATGATAAGAAAAATGATTGGAAAAAATCACGGAAGCATTATCAAAGATCGCTCGACATCAAACGGACCTATCTAACCGATGAGGATCCACAATTGGCTTCGACTCACACTCATCTTGGCTCGGTGCTCGGAAAAATGGGCAAATTCGATTCGGCAATGGAGCAATATCGATATGCACTTGACATCGAACTGAAATCTTCCGTTCCCGATAAAAAAACAGTTGGGTATGTGTTATATGAGCATTGGTGATCTACTTCTTCAGCTTGGCCATTTTGAAGAAGCACGTAAAAATCTTAAGAACGCTTTAAAGATTCAACTTGATATTCTTCCATTTACTCATCCTGATTTGGCTAAAACACGCACTCATTTATTTGATGCTTGCTATTCAATGGGCGATTACTTTACAGCACTTGAACAAGCAAAAGCATTACTGCGCATAGCCCAAAAATCCTATCCAGCCAATCATTTTCAAATTGCCATTGCTCACAACAATATTTCTGCTACTTTAGACAAACTCGAACGATATGAAGAAGCACTTGAAGAAGTTGAAAAAGCGGTAAAAATTGGACAACATACTTATCCATTGGGCCATTCTGAAATGAGTGATATGGAGAATTTGTTAGAGATAGTTCGCTGGAAGAACACGCAACTCGTTGATCTTCATTAATAGAATTTTATACTGAATTAGGTTCGAAAATAAAATAAAATAAAATTGACAATTACATTTTCACACATCTAGAATAAAAAGTATTAGCGGACCTCCGAAGAAAAATTTTAAATATTTCCGTCATTTGTCAGATCACGAAGAAATATGCAAAGAACCGATATATGAAAGTTCGGATATTAAAGTTCAACGACTCACCAAACACTGTATGACAAGAAACCACACATTGACTATTCTCTTTCTTTATTTTTAGGTTTTCGTTCTAAATATTTTCTCTTTTGGATTTTGAGATGCATTCAAATGGTTCAAATCAAACTTCTAAAATGTTTTTTGTTTGATTTTATGATCATTAATAAGCGTTGAGAGAATTCATTTTCTTTGCTGTCGAGTATTTTAGTCAAGGCAAAATGTTTATTTCAAAAATCATTACTACAATTGACAGCTTTCGAACAGATATTTTTCTCTGGACACCTACATTGATTTATTCAAGTCGATGATTCTTTGACTTTATGAATCAGTTGTTTCATACAAAGTTTTTGTCGTCCTCTGAAGACCTCCTCAAATAAATCTTCAGATCGGAGCCAAGAAACAAATGAATAGCTTTCGAAAGAATTCCCAGAGAATTAGTCTGAAAAAAACTAATTAGTTTCGACCAATACCTACGAAAATAGTAAAGAAAAGTTGATTCATTTCATGGTAACATTCTAATATTTACCGTGATAACTATTCGTAAGAGCTCCTGAGTAGAACACAATATTAATGCAAAGCATGTCGGCTGTGACGTAATTTATGCGAGAAATGCATCGGTTAAAAATGTGATCATCATCAATCCAACATTCTACCACATATAAAACTGAGCGTCAGAAATTGATGAATGTTGGCGAAACGAACTTTGACTATCAGCAGTATATGTCTTGGAATAAAAAGCAATTATTAACATAATCTACTTACGAGATAGACAATGGCTGATGCAAAGAATGTCTGTAAGGAGACAGAACGAGATATACACACATATCAAATCATTATTCGACAATATATATATATTATATAAATGTACAAAAGATGTTCATAAACTAGTTCGCGAGTTTATCTGTGACTCAACGAAATAATAGAGAATTTCTCTAAAGATCATTAGGAGATTTTGTAATGATATATGAGTCATGCATGAATAGAACTAAACAATTAAATTCAATGAAGGCGAACTGAAATTTCAATCTTTCCAAATGATAATTAACTCATGTTTCTCAAGTAGCATTCATCAAGGATTCTAAAAATCAAAGCAATGGCGTTTTCATCATGACCTCTAGAGCAATTTTAATGTATTCAAATATCATGGACTAAAACAAATATTTTCATCATATTCATTGCATTTGATTGATTAAAATGTGCGTTTTAGTCGATCAAATTGCACATGTTAAAATTAATACCTGTTTTATATTCTAAAATGTCACTTTTTTTTCTTGTCTTTTGCCATAAATCCCATGTAATTGGCGACTTTTTTTTCTTTTTCAAGTTCTTAGGGAATATCATCAAATTTTACTGCTTAACCCTTAAAAGCCGAAGTGGCTTTCGCTTATAAAAATGAGAATCTAATTAGAAAAACAGAGATTATGGATCCTCAGTATACTCGTACTATAGTTAAAAATAATTACCTTCTTCTTATTCTGGACCTACGCAACCTCCTTTGGCAGGAATATCCATCCGTGTAAAAATTCGAGAAAATAGGAATTTCGATCTGAAACTTTGCCTCTAGATAGTTTTGATAATACTTAATATGCTCCAAAATTTTCACTTAGAACGGATGCTTTCTTGCTGAGATATTCAAAATCCAAAAACCAGCTAAATTTTGCTAAAAATTGCTAAAAACTTCAACATTCTGTATCTCGCGAAAGAAACAACAGTTGTTCCTGAAAATTTTGAAACTTCCTAAACACTACTAGGGCTATGTATGAGCCAAGTTTCATATTAGAAATACATTGTTTTGATTCTTCTATGAGGCTGAATGTCTCACCGAAGGAATTTTTTATTGATCACGGCACAATCTGTTAATAGATCGGTTAAAAGATTCTAGAGCGCTGACATTGAATAGCTTGATGATAGGCTTAAGAGTTTAACGTAAAATAAACTACACTGTATGTCGCTTTTCCGAATAGATACAACTTTAGGGAAGAAAGGTGTTATTGAAAAAAGTCATCAATCCCAAAAGGTGTTTTGCTACGCCTGACAGCCACCTGAACACTACATTTTGGTCTAGGTATGGCCTCGAAAGTCATATCAATCCAGAAAAATATTGGTTTTTGTCTATAACATTTTTATAAGATTTTGATTACAATTATTTAAATGTCCCTTGGAAGGGACATTCGGCTCTTAAGGGTTAATATTGGTTTCTTTTCAGTGGCACGCATGAACATAACTAGATCTACGTAGTCGAAGATACACTTTGCTTTTGGAGTACAACTACTCTCTAAGAATAATTGACATCATTCTCATTTCAGCAATGGACTTGCATGTTCATGCCAAGGCTTTGTGCTCATAAATCCAAATAGGAAATACAATTACTGACAGACATAAGCAATACCATGATAATTGGGATCAATTGCTATTCATACATCTTTTCATCTTCCACAACTAAGGCCAATTTGAATTTAAGAACACATTTGAAAATAAGTATCAAGGATACTGCATCTCATCATTGCATTGAAATCATTGCATACGTTATGAACGGCTATTAATCTACATTGTACTTAAACATCTTCATTTTTCTTACTAGCTATTGATTAACATCAATATCTGTATCTATTTGTACATATCACACCAAGATAACCAACTTTTTTACACCAAGCATTTTATGTACAATCATTTTTTGTACAAGTAGATTCAGATATTATAATAGATTATGTGAGTGTATTATTGTATATGATTGAAAGAAAATTCAAAGAGAAGAAACTATTAGACTACTCATTTTCTATGATGTGGTTTGAAGCTGAAAGCAACTGGTCTTACATAACTGTTCATTTTGCATGACGCCATGGCAAGAATGTAAGAATACGTGTTTTGCTATAGCAAAGAAAACATTTAAATATTGCTTTGATGCTGCATGGAACGTGTTACAGTTCATCTCATAGTCAGTTTTAATAACATGATTTTATTGCAACCACAAGACGAAACGAACGAAAACCCAAATAAATCACTTATGCTTTACTTAGATCTACTATTTGTTTTCGTGAGCAGATACAAATTATGTTCAGTCATCACAAATTTTATATCGTTGATTGTTTTTTTTTTTGGCACTACACTTCGCCATCACAGCCATCTTCAACTTATTTAGCTATCATCAATACGACAAAAGAGGCAAACAACAATTGTTTCCATGATTTCGAATTTATTGGCTAAGGAAAAGATTGCACGAATAGTAATCATTTTAGAATTTTTCCAAAAATTGATAGCCATACCTTCAGACAATAAGCTGTAGTCGCTAGGTTTTTGAATCGCTAACGCACGGATAAAATAAGAGAGAAGGGTGCGCTGGTGAACGTGTGGATGAGGAAATGACACCAGCCGACACCACCCAGGCAGTCAAGATCGAAAAAAAAACGCGTTTAAACGCATTATTTTAACGTTTTTTTTCGCTTGAAAACGCTTCGAAAAACGGTAAAAGCGCACATTCTAACATGTATAAACGCGATATTTTGTCTTTTAAGTGAAAAAAACGCGTTTATATGCGTTGCTCAAGCGTTTAAAAGTCGTTTTTTGCTGGAAAACGCGTTACAAAACGTTAAAAGCGCACATTTCAACGCGTAAAAACGAGTTTTTTCTCTATTGTTGACTGACTGGGCAGAGATATGCATCGCGACGTGGTGAACTGTATAAAACGTTGCTACTGCTGAGATGTTGTTCAAGGAATTCTGTGAAAATCTCTTCTGCTACTGTGCCAAATTAGCATAGCTGGACTGAACCCATCAGACTCAATCTTGATTCTGACTGTACAACCTGTAGACACTAGAATTGAGTGCAAATTCATCCAATTTTACAGTTTCAAAAAAAAAGAAAGAAGCTACCTTTGCCGTGATGATATCTTTAAAGTATCATCTGCGCTGCTGATGCCGTCGCAGCGATGTTAGCAATGTCGCCATGGGTATCTCTCATCTACGCTCACACTTTGACACCTCATCCTTGCCTGCACTCAAATTTCACTCTTAGAATTCTGCCTCACATTCAACATGGATTAATTACATCCAAAATAGTTTCAATAAGTCTACCCGAAATATTAAAAATACCTTTTTTTGTTGTAATAGAATTAATCCAATGAATTAATTTACTAATTAAGTCAAACATTTCAAATAATTGATGCTAATTATATTTCTGAATACAAAAACAAGGTTGAATGGCATCAACGGAACTAAATCAAATAAATTATTGATTGCATTCTTTGATTCGCATATCCAAAGGTACTTTTTTTTTCATTCATTAATAGAAATGTTAATTATTACTGTTGATTTCTTTTCTTAATTTATATTTTAAATAGAAATTTTAAATACATGGCTTTATGATTCACTTATTTTTGGACTAATGTGCAAATTAAAAAGGATAAGGTGCACAAATATATAATGATTAAAAATAATTAAAAGAATTAAATTAATGAACCGGACATAAAATCAAAGAAAAACAGCAATAGCTATCACAAAACATGAGCACAAAAAAAAGCATTAATAAGAATAAACAAACAACTGAGTCTAAATCGAGAAGAAGAAGATGATAACGGATACAAACGATTAATAAAGAAAAAAGAGAATGTATTTGAGTTAGAAAATAAAGAGAGTTCACAATGACGAGATAAAAAATTACTAAATCTGACAGATGAAATAAAAACAAAACAATAATAATAACTGTCAAGAAAAACAGATACCCTTTTTTTAAAACAATAAATAAAAATAAGTTGCTCGTTTATTTTTGATTTTTTGAATGGACTTTTTAGCATTACTTTTTTACAGGCGTTAATACAAATATTTTTCCACCTTTAACAGAAACGAGTAAATGACTTGAATCTTTTGTTAAATAAAGACTATTGATTTGTGTTCGAAGACGAGTAGTTTGAATTGTTGTCATTCTTTCATAGTAATAAAAATGAAACTATTAAATATTAATTTAATAAATTAAAAATTCTTACTCAAACATATCTTTAATGATAATTCTTGCGAAAACTGATGGTGTTGATTCCGGTTTTTCTTTAGAAGTTGAATAATGATTAACAGCAAGTATAATATATTGATCAGTTAAAAGCATATCAACAATATTATATTCAAATTTTCTTGTACGAATAAGATAACCATTAATTGAATATAAAAATAAATATGTATCTTCATTTGTTGTCTGTACAAGAATATGTCGTTCATCTGATAATTTTAAATTAATAATTGGATCATAACTCGCATCAGTTGGTCGTAATGTACGTACATAAATTCCATGTTCAATTGTATAAATATTACAAGTACCATCTAATGAACCTGAAACAATAAGATCAAGTTCAGATGAAACACAAACACATGTTATTTCAGCAGTATGGCCATAGAGTGTCTTTTCTGGTATAATAATTGATGTTGTATCTTGATCATTAATATTTATTAT